GGGTCCTAATTCTTAAACACGTGGATTTATCCTTTTCTTGCAGCATGTCAAATCTCTAAAACGCATGACAATTTACACTGTCGTAGTATGACAACCTTTCTATTGTAGCATAATGCAAGATTTTTGGCGATGCACGTCAGTGAGAGGAGATGTTCCTGTCGACTACGAGGCGCCTACGGTGACTTTGTAAATCTCAAGATCATATTACCGACTCAGTCTCTCAGAGGTGCTCATAGGGATATGGTCGCATGTGTGCATTCATATGGATAAGTGTATGTGCGTATATATTAGCGAATGCGTCTCCACTGTGTTAAAAAGACATGAAAATTCTATTTTCCTAGCATGACAAATCTCTCTATGATAGCATTGCAATTTCTAAAACGTCTTCCGAGAGTGCTCTTTTGAGCTCGAATGAGCATGTACTCTTCCTATTAGAAAATGTTAAAAATATGACGTCAGTTTTTCAGGTATGACAAATTGAATGTTTTTTTATGGCAAATTGAATGTTTCTTATGCTAAATTGTGTTGTCGCCAGGATGACAATTTGTGACGCTTGATAGAGTAAATTACCGTCCTCATGGCAACATAATTTGTCCTCTCAAACGTTTAATTTGCTATGGCATAATAAATTTGACGTTTGATTTGTAGCGAAATCCCTCCCTATTCCCTGTGTAGAGTCCATGAAAAGGGATATTCCGTATTGGCTGGTGAAAACCCAAAGTTCCTGAGACGTTTGAACGGAGAAGATCGGTCCACACAATCAACCGTTCCTTCACTAGTAGAAAAGAGGGCTTTGGTTCAGACGGGGTCAGCCCATTAGTCCCGATTCAGTCCAGAACCGGGACCCATGGGGGCATTGGTCCCGGCTCGTGAGGCCAGGGGCCTGCCGGGTCTCATGGGGGCATTGGTCCCGGTTCGTCATGCCCCTTTGGTCCCGGTTGGTAGGACGAACCGGGACCAATGGGCCTCGCTCCTGGCCCAACACCATTGGTCCCGGTTGGTGGCTTGAACCGGGACACTGACTTCCCTTTAGTCCCGGTTCATGCCACGAACCGAGACCAATGAGGTGCCTATATATACCCCTCGCCCGCGAGCAGAGCACCCCAGTGCTATGTTTTTCTCTGGCTGGCGAGGGGAGGGCTTTGTGGTGCTTTAGCTCACCTCCTATGCACATGAGGTGTTCGATGAAATGCCCGAGCCACACTAGTTAAGCTTTCTCCTGTCGAAGCTTGACCTCAAAGCTCCATTTTCCTCGAGATTTGTCTAGGTTTAGCGGCCCGTCACGTCCCATTCCCGTCTTCACCACCGTCGATCGCCCGCACCAATCTCGTCGTCGGCACCACCGTGGTGAGCCTCTTGTTCTTATCTTCTTTCTGAAAGAAAAAAAATTCTTACTTTAGGTAGATACTTGTCTAATCTTCTTACTTTTATTATTGCTTGTTATTATATAGTGCGATGGTTTTGGTATCCGCCCCCGTCGGCCCTCGTCCTGGCTATGATTCGGATGTGGTATATATTATCTTTTTATAACTATTTGGTTCATTTATTGTTTATGACAATTATGCCGACCAACGTGACATAGATTTTATTTATCTAGGAGGTAGTTGAACCAGAAATTCCAACCGACCCTATTGTCGAGAGATTAAATTTAGTTGAAGAAGAAAACAATTACTTGAAGGAAAAAATAAAAAAAATGAGAAGGAGAAGATGATAACTGAGTTGCATGTTGCGGATGTCGTTGATGATCACAAGATCAAGATGGATGCAATGCGATTGAAGATGAGAAAGATTAGAAAATATGCCATTCATACCGAGGCTTGGTATCATTATGCCGTTGGATCAATTGTTACCTTGGTTGCGATTATGATCGCATTTGTTTTCGCATTGAAATGTTTTACATAGTTTTAATGTATGGTTTAATTAATTAGATACTCTGGAGAGCTATATATTGTTAGATGAGAACTATGTATGTACTTTAGTTTTAATGTGATGATGAACTTCTATTAATTTGGTCACTTAATTATCTATTCATGATGTTCTGTAATAGTTTTTGACACACTTAATTATATGTAATGCACGCAGATAAACCGGCAATGGATGTACGGTGAAAGACACACCTCCGAGTACATTAAGGGCGTGCATGATTTTCTCGAAGTGGCTGAGGCAAACAAGCAGAATGGTTTTATGTGTTGTCCATGCCCTAAATGTGGGAATACGAAGTCTTACTCTGACCGAAAAATCCTTCACACCCACCTGCTTTACAATGGTTTCATGCCACACTATAATGTTTTGACGAGGCACGGAGAAATAGGGGTTATGATGGAAGACGGTGAAGAAGAAGAGGACGATGACAACTATGTGCCTCCTAAATACGGTGATGCTGCAATGGGGGAAGCTGCTGAAGATCAAGAGGAACCAGATGATGTGCCCAATGATGCTACAACGGGGGAAGCTGCTGAAGATCATGAGAAACCAGACGATGTGCTCGATGATGATGATCTCCGCCGGGTCATTGTCAATGCAAGGATGCAATGCGAAAGTCAAAAGGAGAAGCTGAAGTTCGATCGCATGTTAGAGGATCACAAAAAAGGGTTGTACCCCAATTGCGAAGATGGCAACACAAAG